GAAAATACGTTTCTCAAAGAAATGAAATCTCCAGAGAGCGTTTTTAAGCCGCGCTTAATCCGCCGATTTCATTCGCTTTCCGATTGTTAATCGCGGTGCGTCGCATTATCCATCCCGCGCGACGTTTCTTACGCATTTCTTTATCCTACTTCCGTCGGCTCTAAGAGCGAAAGAAAGGGCGAGGAAGCGAAAGGGGAAAGGAAGTTTTTGAAGCTGATATAGCAGTAAGCAAGCAGCAGGAGCGGGATTCACGCGTACACACAACGCACACAGCGCGGCGGGTAAACTAAAATGGGATAATAGAAGGACCGGAAGGGCGCCGTAAAAACCATCCGGAAGTTCTCACGCGTCTCTCGCTTCTCGCACGGCCGCAATGAAAATGACACCTGGCACTCGGGATGGACATACTACACGAAGGCGAAGGAGAAGGAGGAGAGGAAGGTGGCCGCTTAGGCACCGACGACGGAGAGAAGGGCGCGCGAGACGAGGAGCGAGCTACGGGACAAAAAAAAAAGAAAAGAAAAAAGAGACGAAGAAAAGGAGAGACGCACGGCGACGCAGGGAATCTGGTCGGATGGATGGATGGCGTTGTTAGTAAAAAGATCGCTCGCTCATCGTTCCATATAGCCGCACCGGATGTCCCTAAGCTCCCGGAGATCTCGTCAAGCGATCGAAAATATAATGGCACCGGGGTGCCACCGCAAAACCGCTCCACATAATCGACTCGGGCTAATTGGCGCTCGATCCGTATCCGCTAATCGCCCCGGAAAGATAACCGTAATACCTACAGATTACTCCATGAATGGGGCAATTCTGCGGGAAAAGAGACCACTCTTCGCTTAAATCGCTCTCCTCAGTTCACTGGGTCTCGAACAAATTTCGCTTTCATCTCATTTTTGCGGCGTATCAATTTTCCGAAATTGTGCGAGAAATTTTCACCGACAAATTTATGAGAATAATTACGCGAGAGAGAATTACGCTTTTTCCAAGGAAGTCAAATCGAAGCTTGTTGCTGCGTTAAGAGATTTTTCTCGCAGACGACGAAATGTAGAAAAATATATTGTGAAAAGGAAAAGAATAAAATAAATGTGCGCGTTTCGTCGGTGCGACTATCGGCCGCGATTTCACGGAGCCGCGTGACTTTTGTCCGATACGCGGCGAGGAGCAATTTTCTCTCTCTCTCTCTCTCTCTCTCTCCTCGGCGGCGATGTGTCGTCATCCCCACTGTATCATTCTTGCTCACGTACTGTCTCGGCCCACGTGCGAAACGTACGTATCTTACGATACACAGTCCGTATACGCTTGGGTGTCGCGCGCTCTCGTCCGCTCCGCACGTGTAGACCTACGCGCGTATCCTCTCACATACACGCATACAGGCACACACACGACCCTCTCACGCACACGCACGGGGATACGTAGGTGTTTACAGGCAACGACAGCAACAGGTTCGAGCATCGAGTGGGCGCCGCTGCTTTGCTAACGGCTACGTTTCCCTCTCCCCGTGACTTCCTGCGCCCGTAAGCGGACGATTTAGCTTCAAATCCTCGGAATGCCTATCCCGAGACCTGTATAAGCCCGCGCATACACCGTCGTTCGCGGCTTTCGACCTTTTTGGGACTTAAAAACGTGCCCACCTGCTGACGAAGGAAACGACCGGCGTAAAGAAGATCGACGGGGAGCGAAATTGCCGATTGTGAGCCGGACGAAATTCACGCGAGCCGAGCGTATTGCGAGCCGCGAGCGCGATGTATAATATTAATCGTGACAAGTAGCGCGAAATATGCTCCGGCGTGATGCGCGCCGTCCCGACAATGCAATTGCGTGGCTCGCTGAGATGACTTCGCTGGGATTGAAGCATTAAATATTTGACCGCTTTCCGGAACGATTTCAACGCTGATTTATTTCGGGACCTTAGTCGGCAGTAACGTAATTTTGACGGAGTTAAATAGGCTAGTGACTCGAGAAGAGTGTTGCGGCAATAAAAATTTATTCGACACATAGTTTCGGCTTCTAATAACAACGCCAATTATCAATCTTTCTATAATGGAAATTACTTTGTCATGAAAAATACCTCGTGTATTTCGTCTTATTTGTTTGCTAAGCGCTTCGACACTTGTGATGCCGTTTATTATAATTTTTACTTGTAACGACACTGAGGAAAGTCTAATATAGGCAGAAATGTTTATAATTTTTATAATATAATTTAATTTTTTGCACGAACAGCTAGCAACGGCTCTTTTTTCTCCCAAGATTAGTTGTTAAGAAAAATTTAACTGAATTTTTCCTCTTCATTGATATCGCGAAGTTGGCTTTTCTTTTATTCGGAGTAAAGAAAAATACTTAAAAAATATATCTATTAATCGTAAAATTCATAATGAAATTAAATTGACAAGTTTAAAATTGAAAGAGTGCGATAAAAAGTTATTAGACATAAAACAATTAGATAAATGTCTCGTAAACTGTTCGTAAACAACTCCGTGATATCAATTAAGAGTTTGCGTATCAGATTTAAATCTAATGCGAGCAACGTACGATTGGAAACGTAAGGGTAGCGGTAAAGAGACACGACGTATAACTTTCATTTATATAACTTAGAAAGAGTATCGCATATGACCTTTCGCGTGCTAAACGTGCTGCTATGCGCAATGTTAGATATGAATTATGTACACGCATATCGGATATGTAGCCATTCCTAATTTCGCCGATAATATACCGGTTGTCCGTCTAAAGTTTTCACAGTCGAACTGTGTCAACGTCTTCTCTATGAATAAAAATAAGGGGGAAAAAAGGAATTCAATAGAACTTACGCTAGCCTCCTCTCCCGTTTTCTGGTTCTCAGATGAACAATTTTATGCAAATCACAAGTTTGTAGCTTAAGGAACAAGTAAACAGGTCTTCCAGATTACGAATGTATAATTAGGAATGATTGGGGATAATTTTGGAATTGGAGAATGGCGGAAATTTTGAATAAACTTGGGCGATTAGCTTACCCCGACTTGGTACAAAACCCTGGGCTCCTCGTGCGTCAGTCTGTGCTTTCTGTTACGATTGATCAGATCGATCTCGAAAGACGTGTCGTCGAATTCCTGCAGCTTGGCGAGGTATTTGCTCTCGTCGAAGAATATGTACTCGTTCAGGTACTCGCGTTCAGCCTGCTCGAACGCGGCGCCGTCGAGGAGGTCGCATTTGCCGCGACGGATGATGCCGACGATCGCCAGCAGAGTGTACAGCAGATGCTGTATCGTTTTGCCGGTCATCGCTGCTCCGCGGCGATAATTCGTCCTCAATCTCTGTAAAGAATCTTCGCGAGAATCACGCGACGGTCTCACTCGTGCCACTCTCGGCTCTCCTCGCAGGAGCGATTTCCGTTCGCTACGGCGCTTTATTCGCAACCAAGAGACTGCACAATTCAGGAATAATCAATGAACGAAGTTCTCTTGCTTCTTGCGATTTACGGCGTTCGAAGTGGGCGAGAGAGAGAGAGAAGAACTTTTTTGGGGTTTCGGAAAATTCGAAACTTCTCGAACACGGTGGCTCGCTGCTATTTGAAGTCCATCTTCGCGATTTGCGAACGCGAGATTTTTTTTTTTAGATCGTCTCTTCTCGAAAAAGAAAAAATCGATCGAGCTGCTCGAATTAATGGGACGCTCGCGGAATACCTCGGAACTCCCGACCTCTCTTCGGTTATTCCTCCCGCTTTCGACAACAAAACCCGAAACGTCACGTGTTTCTGTTTATTATCGCGGCCTCAGCTTCGTCGTCGCCGTTCGATTTGCAGAGGCATGAAAGAACGATCCCCCGATCCCCTCGGTCCAGATCGATAGAGCGTGTCGCACTCGCGCACTCTCACTGAGGCTGCCGCCCGTTCGAATCGTCGCTCTTGATCGTTCGTACTTATCCGTCCGATGGAGATCCGATCGTCTTCGGCGTCGTCAGGATTCCCCCCTTTTTTCTTTTTTTTTTATATTTCCCTGCGGTTCTTGCGTGTCCTCTCGCGATGAGAATGGGCCGAGAGAAGCGTGAGCGGTCGCCGCGAGGCTAAGTGAAACAGAACGTCGGGATCGCCGAGATCGGCCGATGCGAAGGTATGCCGTCCGCTCGACTGGACTCTTAAAAGCCAGAAGTAAAGCATGAATGGATGCCCCCACCTCCCTCCCTCTCCCCCCCTTCCCTCCACCACCTCTTCCTCTTCTCATTCTTGACTGCTCCTGTCCCTACTCTTTCTCCTGCTCTTACGTCATCCCCACTCTACTCACTCTCTATCTCCGGGGCCGCGCTCTATCTCTCCTCTTCGTCGCCCGTTTTCTCGGGACACGTCGTCGTTACGTCGCCCGTCGTTGTCCTTGTATCGCATCCTCTCTTCTCCGGCGGCGTACGGCGTACGGCGCGGCTCTCCCGCTCACCCCGTTTGCGAGCGAGTGCTTAACGAGAGTGTGTTTTACTCTTTCACCGGAGGTCCGACCCGTTTGCATTCTGTTTTGCAGCGCGCACCGCCGTCGTCGCGCCCTGCGTGAATTTTTTGCACGGCGTTCGGCGAACTTCCCTCTTTCCCTCGCTTCTGCCGGCCAGCTAGTTTTTCGCCAATAATTTCCTTCCCTGCGGCTCCTGCGATCCGACGCCGAGCGCTCCGTTTCGTCCCGCGAATCCGCGCGAACTTGCACTATACATTTCATTTATGCTATTTTAATCGGACCTTTAAATTAAATCGTTAACTTTAGAATTTACGAGTGCGAATCTTCGGCGCGTAAAAATATTCTTTTGTTTGCGGAGGTTTAATTATTTTTGTCTTCACGCTAGCGAATTGTATCACATATTTCCCGAATAAAAATATTTGTCTCAACAATGAGATAAGCCCTATTAGCTCGAAGATGTTTATTATTATTAGGAATGCAGACATAGGAATGCTCTAAAGAAATGCCGGAACGGCAGTATTTACAGAAGCATTCGCCATGATATTGTTTGTCCTGCGAGGCAAAAGCTTACGACTATTTTCGTTTCAGGGAAATTGTACGCTGTATTCGGCAAACGGCAAGGACGCATTGTATCCACGGAAAACGCTCACGGCTTCGGTGGCCAATTCAGAGTGCTGGCCACCCTACCGGTTCTGGAGAGTTTCCACCTTGCCAGAGAACTGCGGACGCAAACGTCCGGATTAGCCAGTCCGCAGCTAGTTTTTAGTCATTGGGAGGTAAAGCTGTCACGTTATATCTTTATATTACCCACAGTGAATTCATAAGATGTTCTAATCGTGGAAATTAAATTTCGAGCAATTAATCTTCAATTTGTTAATATAATTATTTAAGTATTTGGAGGAGAAGTTTTGCAATTTCCAATTTGCAGTCTGTAGCAATCTGTTGAAGAGAAAAAAGAATTTATTTTGTCCTTTATCTTAATTCGCATTAATATCAATGGCTGAACGAATTTATTTTCACAGATAATCGAGCAAGATCCTTACTGGGTTCCGTCCACAGAAGAGGAATATCTTCATTTTGGCGAGAAAGCAGATAGCCATAATCGAGCTAAATGCTACATGGACGCGGTTCGTCGTAGGAAAGGTCTTCCTGTGGACTCCCAATTAGTTACACACGGCGAAAAGCAACGCACTCTTTCAAAAAATAAGTGACGCGAGATCTTTTTGTTGTACGGATTATGTAAAAGTGCATTTATTCAAACTCTAGCCCTTGTCGTGGACTTGATTATCTCATATCCGTCAAATTTTCTATCTACAAAAGTGCAATTAGCGATTCAATATATGAACAGAAAAAGGATTGTTCTTCATTCCATACATTGTAAAACGAAATTAAATATTAATTATTAACTGAATTTTGTAAATGACTAAGATTTATACATGTGCCGTGTATTGTGAAAGCAATCTGAGTCAAAAATTAAAAAAAAAATTGACTATCACTTATTTTGTGTTATATTAATCTTGAAATATCTCGAAAAATCATCAAAATTTTTTACTTAGACCACTTTCATAATCAGCGGCACATATCTTATTTACTTGATGATTTTAAACTGTCTTATTTGTTTAACTAAATATTTCCAAATCAGTTATGCAACAATTTTTTGCACAAAACGCGGGATACTTACGTACGAATGAAAATGTATGATGACACAATTGCATTTTATTTAACAAAACTACAGACTGTTTAGCGAAAGAAACTACAAATTATAACATTATTACAACATTTGCATAAATGTTATTTACATTAAAAAAATATTAAACCTAAAGATAAATGTACATATGTATATCTTTTTGTCAAAACAATGTTACGAACATACGCCATAAGTTTGCAACGCACTTTGCATAAAAGTGTTTCATTAATTTGTAAGTTTCTTGTTCCATGTATTATATATATATACTGTTACGCCTAATCATCCGTAAATACAATCTTTTTGCCTTGGAATCCTTGCTTTATAACTTCCTGCTCTTTTCTTTTAGCCAACCAAGAGGGATGTACATCGGCGTTTTCCTTTTTGTTACTGACATCGTTCGGATTGCTCTTATTTGTCCTCTTTGTAATCTTATTGGTAGTCCTTTTCTCTGGTCTCGCAGCAGAGGATCGTTCGGCCGGATATTTTTTCAAGTCTACATTGTTTTTATACTTTGCATTTTCTTTTTTACCTCGATCACTGAATTGCAATGATTTGGTTCGTGTGTTATGTTTGTGAGGTTTTGCGTACGATGTCGATGCGCTAATACTACTTCCTTGGTAATCTTCATTATCTTCTGTAAGAAAAAAGTTATCGACTACCTTTGCTTGATCATTTGCAGTGCCCGCGGGATTTAGACTTTCAGCAGTTGTCTGCGCATCTATGCTAGATTCTTCTTCTTTTATGAGCTCTGTGAACCTTTTCACTGTAGCTTCTTTCGTAATGTTACATGGCTTAATTAAATTTGATTGCTTATCTACATCAGTATCCTCCGACGTGCTATCTTCTTTCAGCTCTGTTAACTTCTGTTTTTTCAAGGATGTATTATCTTTGCTCAAAGATTTTTTGCGTTTACACGAGTTATTTTCAGCTTCAGGTAATTCAGTACTACACGATTCTTCATCTTCTGATGTTGAATTATGTTGTGAATAATCGATATTTTTGTCTGATTTAACTTTTTGTTTCTCTGAATTTTTATTCCGAGTGCGAGGACTATTTTCTTTTGAAGATTTTTTAGTTTTTGCAGCATCCTTATTTTTTAACTTTGTAGATTTTTTCTTTTCTTCCGTTAAATATTTTTTATAGTCTGGGAATCTGTCTCTAACTTGCATTATTCTTCTATGAAGATTTTTGTAATACGCAACCCTTGCTGTTATTCGAAAACCATGACTTGAAGATTGATCTTGTAATATTTCTGTCAGACCTCTTTCATTTAAGATCCCAAATTTGGAAATATCATCGTCTTTAATCGTTTTTAGTGCATAAACTTCGGCGATAAGTTTGTCAGCTTTTCTTTTATTCTTCTCCAATTGTGCTTCATTCCCATTTCTATTCCGTAAGTTCTTGGCCTCTTTAACCAGCTTATTCACCATACAAATTCGTGCTTGACGAACCGCATGGCGCAAGAGAACAATCTACAAATATTAAGAGATTTAAATTATGGGTCAAATAAAATCTCTGTAACAACAACGAATATAAACAAATCATATGTGCTTTACTCAGACCATGCATATATCTCACCTCATTGTTTAACTCAGCCTTTGCCATTTTAAACTAATTAAGATCAAAATAAATTCCTTTGAGCAAAAACGTGAGTAGTCTTCTCCCTTTTCTTCTACGTATCTATCCTCTTAATAATACAAAAGCTTTTAGAAGTAAATTATTTTAACCTTATTCAGAATATCACAAATACCATCCGAGCAATCCAGAGTGCAACTAATGACCTGCGATATCCAATAAGAGAAGATTTTCCTTCTAGGAATTTTAATAAAGCTTATGCAGTTCTGAAAAAACTAATTCCTCCTTGAGTCACGATGCATGTAAATCTAGAAGCGATACTCGATAGAAGGTTTTGTTCCGGAAGTAGCTCTAGGTACTTTTGACGTTACGTAATTTATGGTGAATGCACACTGCATCCGATAATTGATATACGAGATGCCAAAATCCAATGGAAAAATGCGCTTTCTAGATTCTTTATTCGGCAATCATTTATCCCTAAAAAATAAACATTTTATGAGAATCCCTAATTGCCAACCGGATATACGAAATAACTTTCTCTGTCGTAAACCGCCATCTTCCATTCGGCACCGGATTACTTGCTATTTATATGCATCGTGGAAGGGCATCTTCGATATCCCGTATACCTTGTTATATTCATTGAACGGCGCATTGGAGCGGCATCGTTTTCCGAAGCGCCGACAGTGTCCTTTTTTTGTGAATTTTGTTCACCGCTCCAAGCAAGTTCGATCCGACGAACGCCGCTGACTCCTGCGCGGACGTCGCTGTCTCGAAAAGAGTACCTCCGCCGTTGTACGGAAAAAAATACGCAGTCATGGGCGTGGATGTCGAAGTGCTGAGTCCTGGAGATGGTAATTATATGTTCCATTTTTTATGGACTCGCCGTGTTTCGTGTATTCTTGTCTCCTTATCGAATTTTTCTTTCGTTTCGAATCGCTCTCACACATGTTGTGTTCCCGATACTCCGAAAATTCGCGCTTGCAATGTAATTTTAATGCGCCTCGTACGTCGTAGAAGTCCGCGAGTAAGCGTGGCCCATGCGGTGGTATTCTAGCGCGATCTATTCCGATAAAGTAGGGATGGAGTAACTTTTCCTTATCGATGTTGCTAAAACTGGAATTTTATATGCTGATGCGTATATTATCATTGAATGTTACTTGGAGCATACTTTTTTATGCGCATTACCTTTTACATCGTTGTTTATGCACAGGTCAAACCTATCCAAAGACTGGACAGACGGTGGTCGTACATTATACAGGTAAATATTTTCGCAAGCTCTTTAAATTACATTATAAATCAAGAAACAACCTAAAAAAATTTTAGAATTATTATTATAAGTATGAAATATAATATAAATTTTGTGTATTAAATTGTGAGGCAATAAATATAACAACTTTATTACTATTCTTATCTTGTGATTTATTTTAATAGGTACCCTCGACAATGGGAAGAAATTTGATTCTAGCAGGGACCGTGGTGTACCATTTAAATTCAGAATCGGAAAGGGTGAAGTAATTAAAGGATGGGACCAAGGAGTCGCGCAAATGTGCGTTGGACAACGGGCCAGACTAATTTGTTCTCCAGATTTTGCTTACGGTAGCCGAGGCCACCCTGGCGTATATCCTTTAATACAAAATAATATAAAATAACTTTTGCTTATATATAGATTAAATATAGTCTAAGAAGTCTACTTACAGTCTTCTTATATAATTTAAATTTAATATAAAGTATGCAAATGAGCAAATTATATTAGCCTTGACAAAGACACACTATTCCACCAAATGCCGTTCTCATCTTCGATGTGGAGTTGCTGAAGGTGGAGCCTTGAAATACCTCTTAGAGTGTACCAAACTGACCAAACGCATTTCAATACAAAACAAGAAAAAAAAAATTAAAGTAATGCATCAAATCGTTTTATGTTAAGTAGATGTCACACAAATGACACAATCCTAATGCTAATGCCTTAATTCAATCGCTCAGACGTTAAAAACTGTATTGCGATCTTCGTGAAGTAATATATGAAACATTGTTTCGACCTCGCGCGCGAAAACAATGTAATAATTTATACAGTGTATAAATTACAGATCAATAATACCTGAACAATATCGCATATATATATATAGGTGTTAGACTGTAAGGTCATATACTAATACGTAGTTTTGACTACCTGCTCTCCAAGAGACGCTACTTAACTTGTGTACTTGATTTAAAACCAACTAATCGTGTTCCTATGATGAGCGGTTGAATAAAGGGAATTTTCTCAAGATATCTGCAAAACAACCTGTGTTCATTCCATTCACTATGTATTTGGTAAAATTTTCGAATATTTTGTACAAAAACTCAATGATGTTAAAACAATCACATGAATAATGTAACAATGTGTGTACAGGTCTTTACACAATAAAATACAATAAAATATTGTTTTGCTCCGTCAAACGTACACATTTTTGTCTTATGTATTATGTGAGCGAGTAACTCAAGCCAAATGCAAAAAATGATTAAGCAGTACAAAACAGTAAATCTTTTTCAAATTAACATGTATTTACAAAATATAATGTTTTAAAACAACTTTTCTATAATACTTTTTCTTTATAAATATATTGTGCAACAATATTACAGCACACACTCTGCTGAATATTTTTCTTCCAATCTAGAATATTATACACGAAGAAATCTACGAACAATATACAATTTTCACTTCTACATTGTCAAAAGATTGATTAAATAGCACATTATTCTATTGTAATATATAAATATATATATTACATTTGACACCTACTTGTTAAAAACAAACAGAGCCTACATAGCTCAGCAACATTAACAAAGAAATATATATATATATCTTCAACTATATAAAACATAAAAATATTATTTGTTCTACTTTTTATTATGTACATAAAAATCAATACCTTTAAAATGCAGGAGCTACTGTTTATGTATTGGAACACATATGTATGTGTAGAGGATCTAATGCAATTCAACACTACATTTCGGCTAATATTGATGCAACAAGAATGTTAACCATTTAATATACAAACAATTCTGGAAAATGAATTTCGTATGCTGGAGTTTGACTTGGTTTGTTAGCATCTGTCTGTGGTCCAGTTGTAGGAACTGTGTTGCGTGGATCGACAGATAAAGTGTTAAATATCTCTGACAATTTGCTCTGTAAAACATCGTGCTGTGAACAGAAGAAATGAGGAAAGGGCATGATGAAAATGTACCTGCGACAATTTTTGATATTATATATGATATTATTTGTAAAATATAAATTTTCTTATACCTTTGGCTGTGTCTTTGATACTAAATCTTGAAACGGTGCATTTCTAAAGAATTGAGAAAGTTGCATTCGCTTCTCTTCCTCCACTACATGGTTATTGTTACTTTCTGTCAGAATTCTTTTCATGCTTTCAAATGTTAATTCCTCTCCAGGTAATTTCTGTAAAGAATTACAGTCGAAAAGTTAGTAGAAGACAATAACAAATCAGAGAAATATACAAACGAAATGAAACAAATAATCATAAACTTCTTCGCTGCTTTGGCAAAAATTTACGTGAATGTTAATTATACCTTCTGTACTCCAGGTGATGAACCTCCGCTGTCCAATTCCGGACCTCCAGAGTTAATGTCAGCCAGTGAATTCCGTCCAGCGCTGTCAACCCAGGAATGCCTAACGGAAGATATTTGTGTCAGATAAATGCAATATATGCAACGATTATTACATATGTATTTGACATGCAATTTTCTTACCTATGTTGTAAAGAACTGCTGCTGTAGCCCGAGCCTTGTTGCAATTTTCCATCAAGGCCGACACCCTTCAGGCACTCACTGACAACGGTTTGATCGACCAAAAGTGCAGGCGCCAATCTGGACGTCAGACCAGTATCGTACTGAGATTGCAAATCCGGTAGCAAGTGTGGACTATCATTTCGGCGCGCTTCTACTACCTTAAAACAAATTTATCAGGTTAGTAATAAATTTTAATTTAGCAGTATATCATCACTACATGAAACAGACATAAATTAATTTGCAAAGATTTTGAGCCACCCACCTTTTTCGCATAGTCCATTAGAGCAGTAATATTACATACATATGATATTAAAATTAATAAGCTGATAACTATCGCATGTAAGTTGAACTTAAGTGAAAGGCTAATCTGAGCACTTGTCAGTGCCAAATCCTGTAGGCTCAACACCAATCTCAATAACTCCAATACAGTTTCCTCGGAAGCCAATTCAATGGCGAGTAACGCCAATGTAGTATAAATAGATTCCACATTATCAACAGTATTGCTAGACAACTCTAACGATTCGTATAACGCGAGGTAGATTTCAGGACCATGCTTTCGAATAAAGATCACGTCGGGTCTCGAAGCCTTCTCAATAGCAAGACCAAGTTCCGCTACAATTACACTAAAAAAAGAAAAAGAACATTATTCCATCTGCGAAGAATCGCACAAAAGATACAAAATATTGATAAATTAATGAAGATTACGTTGGCTTAGCGAGCTTTGTGATATTCCGATGTCTGTCGATTAAAGTATGGAATATTTTCTGTACAAGAAGCCTCATTTCGGCATCAGCTGCTAGTGACATTCTCAGCAACGGATCCAAGAAACTGGGAGGGAATGTTGTGTTCAAATGAATAGTTTGGTACTTGGTGCCAACCTAAGTACAAAGAAATAAAGCATCCACATTAAATCCTGCATAATTTACAATTTTATATAATAATAACAAACAATTTACCTTTAATAGCGATTTTAAGAGTATGCTCTGAAGTAATACATCTCCTTTGCCGACCGATACGATACGATCTGGCTGGCTGTACGGAACCTTACTCATGATGAACATCATGATCTCAATTTTCTGATAATCCGGAAGATGATTCGCGAATTCTCCAAGGGCGTTAATAAGAGCTTCCTGGTATAATTGCTCATCACTACTCGACGATTGGTTTCTCGTCACGCTAACCCGGAGATGAGACAATAAGGAGTTTATAATTTCCAATACAGATGGACCTAAAAGAAACACGCATTGTTAGAAAAAGAAAAAAATACCAAAAGATTTCTCTTTCAAATTAATCTTTCCGCTGCATTCAATAATTGTTGCTCGTATATGTTAATTTGCACGATTAAATTGATCTTGAATTTATTTAATTGCACTGAATGTACTTACCAACGCTTTCACCTGCAGCGATTGATATAATTTTGGATAAAGTATCAGCTATACTAGTGCGAATTTTTGGGGACGACTTTGAATGATCGTCGAGATGTGTCATTAAAGCTTCCACCACAGTGTACGAATATTGCGACTGAAAGATGTGTTAAAAAAATACTGAATATCCAATATATGTTCAAGCATTAGTTGAATTATATATATAATTACGTACCTGGATAGAAAACATAATTATTCTGAATGTATGAATTGCGAAATAATTAGGAACCCACAATTGATGATTATCCAAGTGTCTGTAAATAGTAAATTATTGTGTGATATTTCAGAAATAAATAAATTCGTATACAAAAATCCTTTAGAATTTCATTTTGTACCTTAATACAGGTCTTATGACACATCTGATGTGACCGAATGATGCGCGCCCAATCAATTCGCGCATACAAGTTTCTGCAAATTGCGGTGGATCCGATCGTTCTTCCGTTGGGCTGTCTGGTGTTGGATCTTCTTTATCAGCGTATCTAAAATGGTGTGAAAACTTCGGCATCAGTATATGTTTCATAATACTTGTTTCTTCTAAATTACCTTGAATTCTGCATGTTATAAAGCAATGATGGTACAATTTTATCCATATGTACAGGCTCCCAGATATTTTCTACGAGATCATCTGAAAGAGTTTTCCTTACAACACCCTGTGAAAAATACATAATTGACAATTTTAGTTATAACTTTCAATATACAATATGCAAAAAAGCACATTGATTGATATAAATAGCGGATCAGCATTTAGTAATATTATACCTGCAATCCTTGAATTCCAGCAAGCCTGATTTGTTTGCGTATAGCGGGATCGTCATTATTGGAATGGCACATTGCAGAATATTTTGATACAAAGAAATCATAGCGTGTGTGGTAAGAGGGTGTATCTTCTTCAATGTTGGCAAATCTAACAAACTAGTACAAAATGGGTTCATATCAATCGAGTGAAACTGATATAACAATGATATTACATCCATCAATAATTGTTACTTACAGACTGCGTTGCCAGAATTTGTAACTGAGGATCTGTAGATTCCAGCAATTTCTGCACCATCTTCAAAAAGCTTTCAACAAAGAGATTCAAAGTTTGTGCGTGACAAGCAACCAGAAGTTGGTCCATTGCTTCCATGGCAATAATAACAAAGCCATTTCTCCTCCTATTAAAACATAATTTCTTATTTCAGTTTTTGATTTATATAATACTTTAATTATAGATATTGTATAATATGTATAAGTCCACTGAATTAATACTAGTCATATATGTGAGTCATCAGAATTAATTGCTCTAATTCTTGTATGTATAGCAACATATAATTATTTACATAATCAGACGTTATGGTAAGATAACTGATATAATTTCTCAACTTATGACACTTGTACATAATACCGTTGTACATGTCAGATTAAAATCATGCAAATATCACTATTATTTACCATTACTATTATACATTTTTTACCTGTAAATATCTCTGGAAGCCCGTTGAAACAAATACTCTCCAATCCTGTCCAACTTTTCAGGACTGCTCAGTGAATAGAATGTCAGTTTCTCCATATTATTTTTAATCAAGCCATCCTGACAATTAACAAAATACATTAAAGTAGTTCAATGAGCATGAAATATTGATTTTCATACAAAATTTATTTTTTATTCGTTGCAAATATCATAAGTTCAACCATAAATAGAATACCCATTTTGGTCCAGTTTACAGTCAAGGACAGCGTTTCGGTATTGATTAATACATTCATTTATGAGCAGACAGACGCGGGGAACAAAAATATTAAAAAAAAATATTTTTAATTATATAAGACAACGGAAAAACTTTACCTGAGGATTCACTGGAAAAATATTGTCAACGAGTCTTTTATATCTCGGACGTAACGCAGAGCAACACCAACAACAACCTAATAAAAAAAAACAATAAGACAAAAATATATTAGTGTCATCTCTTAATTATAATGTAAACGGCACGCATTTCTGATTATTTACATTAAATTTCGGTAATGTAAATTGTCACGCTTACCAAACATCTTGTCAGCTCTTGCTTAAAGTGACAGCAATGACAGTTACGTTGGATCGTGAACGTGGATACGTATATATACTTTGATCGGTGTTATCGATAGTCTAGTACCTATCGTCCAAAGAATGCAACTGCAAACGATAATGATTCCTAGAAACATTTCATGTTCAAGTTATTACAGCCACGGATGCTCCATCAAGTAATTACAATACTCCACTGATAGATGGCAATACCATAGAAAAATTTTGCTGAACGCGATAAGATGTCCCATGGCTACAAGCATAAACTTTTCTTGAATGCGATAGTTTGCGAACCGATATGATAATAATATGTAAATAAGTTTTAAGTTGTCAAGCAAATTAATTACTAACAATCACAAAAATTAAACTATTTAAAAATTATATATAAATCTTCATTTTTATGCAATAATATATATAATATATATAATGTGAAATATAAATAAAATATTTATAATATATTTAAAATATATATAATCATATTCTTAAAACATTATAATAAAAGCTTTAATTAAAATTTAAAAGTTCTTTCAATATCATTTTATATAACGTGTTCATTAAATTTTGTTTTCATTTTGATGATTCTCTTGATAAAAGTATTTATATTTACACAGCTGTAACATTGAAAATGAAATGATTCAGAACTAATAATTATTCAATAAATTAAGCTAAAAACTATAGATAATTTCTTAATAAAGAACGACAGAAATATACATATTTTTTTTTTAATTTTTATATTAAAATAATTCATATTTTAATAGACACTTGTTTTTGTCACTTTTGTTGTTTAATCAAGCATGTAATTAACAAATTATATATAAATATGATATAAATATAGTATTAAAATTATATGCACAATGTTCATATTGTTTCAAAAAAATTAAAAATAATTATTTTCATTTATCTTCTTTAATTACGAAAATTGCTTATCAAACACTAACTCGTTTCAAAAGCATTACGGTTTAATATTTAATATTTTACTTTCAACAAATAATTTATTTTTAATTAACTTACATAATGAGTTTACAGTAGATACAAATAAAACTTGCAAAATATAACTTTTCTTAAATAAATATTTAAACACTTTATGTCAATTGTTAGAATAACATCTGCGTTTACAAATATTTGTTATAGATTTGAATTCATTGAGAAACCTTAAAAGATTATCAATGATCAATCGATCAAACTTGAATCTCTATGCCAACATTCTTTAATCATAAATGGAAATTTTTAATTGCGATTATTCAATCAATAGTATAAAACAAATAATGACTAATTATAAACTATTTTCATAAATTTTAAGATTTCTATAATACACGTACAAAATAGAAATTGTGTTCCTATTGTAAAGAACGATAGAAGAACTAAAACAAATAATTCTTTTAATAAAAAAACATTCTTACAAAGTTATCTATTTAATAAATTATTCAAATCTGTAATATTGCTTGCTTTAATAATATTTGCTAAATTGAATACGTGAACTCTTTTTTTTTAATGTTTTATTTTTGGAAAAAATGATTAAGTCTTCAATAATAATAAAGAGATATGCCGTACGTCTCATTATTTTTATGTATGTTTTATCATTCCTTCTCATTTAATTTCTACTGCGATGTAATTGCATCCTTTAATTTTGTCACATGTGTCTCATTTAAATGAGAAATAAAAACGTCTCCGCGTTAATGTACTGTAAAAAATGCGACCAACTGTTCAGCAAGGTCAAATATAGATATGAATCCTATATAAAAAAGGAGTGGAAATTGGAATCCACACTTTCTCTTACGACCCGGCTTGCACCTATCTGCAGACATGCTGCCCTTAGCTGTTATCTTGGTGATCGGCGTTTTTGCGCAACGTAAGTAAAGAAAGCGCATGAAATAATTTAACGAGCTATAATTCTTTTGCTCGCAACAAATATTTCATTAATTTTTTTATAACGATTTATCGTACCTAAAATGAGGTAGCTTGTTTTACGAGAAATATTTATTCATTGTCACATATCGAATTGCAGAGACGTTCGCTGACGAACCCGAAGCGATCGTCGGCGGTCAGCCTGCCGCACTGGGTGAATTCCCGTGGCAAGTTTCTCTGAATGTCAATGGCCGGCACGTTTGCGGCGGTTCTATCATTGCACCCAATAAAATTTTGACCGCCGCTCATTGCATAAAAGGTGTCGTATCTCCGCCCTACAACAACTTGCGCATTGTTACCGGAACGGTCGTAGCCACTCAAGGACAATCTTATGCTGTACAAGGTGTCCGCTTACATCCCCAGTATGTGGATAGCGTATCGCAATCTTGGGTGAATGACATCGCCGTGATCACCGTAAGTCGATATTAATTGCAAGAAAATTTGATAGAAATGTGAAATTGGAGCCAAACAGTTTCTTTTTTTTCTATTCTTTTCAGTTCAGTTGTACATTTCGGTCACTTGTTTTATTTTCATTTCAGCTTGCTGGATCGATTACATATAATCAAAACCAGAGAAATATTCCTTTGGCCACCAGTCCGCCAGCTCCTGGCACGCTATGTACTTTGTCCGGATGGGGTTTGACAAGTGCCAATGGACGACTTTCGCCGAACCTTCTTAAGATGAACCAAGCCATAGTCAGTAAGTCAACTTGCCAGAATGCACACAGAGGACAGCCAATTTATGACAGCCACTTGTGTGCGTTAAATCAACGCGGAATCGGTGCTTGCCAAGTAAGTATTCAGTAACAATTATCATTTAATATGTGTGAAGCGTCTTGATGTCGCTTACATATTTGTATCTTGATAGATAACTGATTCGCTAGTTTGTTCAGTACTGTTACTCAAATTATTGAAAATTTAAGTAAAAATTAATTGGAATGTTTCTTTGCGTTTATCAGGGTGACAGCGGTGGTCCATTTGTCTGCAATGGCCAACAGTACGGTGTGACTTCCTGGGTTCTTCCTTGCGCCGTCGGTGTTCCTGATGCTTACACCAGCGTCTATCATCATTTGAATTTCATCCGAAGCTCATAAATGATACAGATTTTGGCACAATATGGAGGATAATCGATTTAATCATATTTGATGAATTATGTCAACTCACCGCGTCAACGTATCAAGAATAGTCAGTTGTGATATCGGACAGAACGCGACGATACATCTCGGTTGCGTTTTTAAAATACAAGAAACTCTTCTACATTTTACATGTCAATAAAATAAATAATCAACGCTTTTCAATCTATTATATGTTGATTTTTATTAATACCTGGCATCCTTTCATCCGGCATTCGATCTTTTTTGAAATAAACAATTACGTGTAGCGCAGACTCTAGTTATAAACTTCTTACGCCATAATATTTTTTAATTAAATTGCTATCATTGTCAAAATATTTGTGATTCAGAAATAATTTTGACAACATTTTTAATCAGACTGCGAAACATTACTGATTTTGAAATATTCTTGATGAGCAAGTAAATAACTAATAATTAGAAACACTAATCCCGTATGAAACTTGATGTTATTGCAACGCTGGGATAATTTTACGATGCAATTTTACGATCAATGGTCGATCGTATCGAACGTTGTTCCGAGAACGTGCTCGATCATCATCGATGAGATCACGAGTTTCGAATTTTCATGCTCTATCATGGAATCAATTAAGCCATTGAACCACGGATGCACGGATAGTCTAGGAAAGATTATGAAGAAATACGTATTCGGCGTATACTTAATAAAAAATTCATGTATATATATTTAATAATGATTAACTATAAATGCGTTATGTATTAAACAAATTATTCCAAATATAAAGTCAATTCTTGAATTATATATTGTTTTTATTTTTAATTTATATTTATTTGCAATACATACGTATGTATTTATGAGATAGAAAATTAAAATTTTCATGAAGTTACATCAAACAGCGTGTTAAAAAACTTTCTTAAAAGCATTAACCGGATATACATATACATATAAAATATAAAGAAACATTAAATAAAAGTCTGAAAAATCATACCTGACAAATTATACCTAAAAAATAAAAGCGTTTAATAAAAATCTAGAAAATATTAATTTTGTTTTAGGAAACTATTCTTCATTTTTTATTGTCATAATATATCATTGTTCGATAACCTAAAACAAATAAATGTAAATATCGTCGAATTGTTTTATTTAATTGTTTAGTGGCCTAACAAAAAATCCTACCTAATAAAACAATTCTATCTAATAAAAAATCCTACCTAATAGAAGATCTAAACATCTAAAAACTTATTTAAATCAACCAAAGAACGCGGATAGAAATAACGATTTAACGATTAACGTTAATTTACAAGTATCGATTTAATTTCACGTTATACGCATTTTTTTTATAATCTTATAAGATTATTGCAATCAAAATTGTAGCCAAAGCATATCTTTATATCTTGATTAATTCTTGTACTCTAGTAATTGTGCTTTTTTTCTTATTGTCTTTTATATCATTATCTTTGACAAGAAATAATATAAAATCATACATCTGTTATAGATTTTTAATAAAAGTATTAAAGTGTGCAATCGTGTTTCAGGTATTGTTTGTGCAAGGACTATTATATCAGTAATAAAGTAAGTTACAAAAGAATGAGATCAAATTCAGTAACATGCCTATAATACAAAAGCAAAGAAAAATGACGGACGCTAGATATTTCGGGGATTCAGTCAAAAATATGCTAAGAGAATTTAGTAAAAAATTTTCATCTTGTCTGCCATTGGAGAGGATTATATGTTATTCTTGTAACAGGTGCAACGGTAGCGAGTGAGTTGATAAACTACATGAAAAAGAACGTTATTGTTTATTTCTTATTTTTGTTAATAATTATTAGTAAATAATTATCGTCGTATTCATTGCAATCATACGTATCACTGGTTATATTATATAGAAAACCGAATCGTTGACTAACGTTCTTCAGAATCTGCAGGAGCAGATTCTGAAATTCTGATCCTGCGTTAAATTTTTTTGCGTTTCAAATTTTTAAACACTTGCTCATCCTTCAAATTTTCTCACAAGTTGCACGTTTTTTATAAGCTTGTAATTAAATTACAACAGGCACATGTGTGATGAGCCGGTTTTAAATCAACTGTAAAGTGTTTTTATTGATAATAGAAAATAAAGTATAAAATTACATTATATTTGATAAAAATTCCTCCTAATCAAATGTTTGCTAATTGAATTATTATAATTATTCAAGGGTACATTAATAATGAAGTTTACTATTAGTAAATATTTACTAAGCTGAATATACTATCTGTTATTTGATGTTTTACATTTTGTGCGAATATAAATAATTGCGATGATAATAGAGACATATTTTGTAATAAATTTGTGTAATAAATTTCTTTGTAAAGACAGATACATATTTAACAATTATGTATGTCGAATTATTCCACCTCATTTAACTTACATTCTGCGATCCAATATTAGCAATCTTTAATAGTTTCATACCTGTTTGATAAAAATACAGAATACAAACGTCACAGAGTTTATTTATAGTAAGAAATACGACCAACTGTTCACTGAGGTCAAATATGGGCATGAATTCTGTATAAAAGAGTGCAAGAAGATGCTATTCGCACTTTCCTTTTCGACTCAGCTTGCGTTCATTTGCAGACATGCTGTCCTTAGCTGTTATCTTCGTTATTGGCGTTTTCGCGCAACGTAAGTAAAGACGCATCGAATACTTCAACGATATTATTCTCGTACCTGCGATAAATATTTTACTAATTTATCTATTCACATTTGTCGTACTTAAAACGATGTAGATCGTTTTATGAGAAATATTTCTTTATTGTACATTTTGATTTACAGAGACTTTCGCTGACGAGCCCGAAGCGATCGTCGGCGGTACGGCTGCCGCGCCGGGCGAATTTCCGTGGCAATGTTCCTTGCAACAATACGGTCAGCACATTTGCGGTTGTTCCATCATTGCCCCCAATAAAATTTTGACCGCCGCTCATTGTGTGCATGGCATTTTTTCTCCACCTTACTCCAACTGCCGCGTTGTCACTGGAACCATTAATGTCAACCAAGGACAATCTCACACTGTGAAGAGTATTCGCGTACATCCCCAGTATGTAGATGACGTAAGAGAATCTTGGGTGAATGACGTCGCTGTGATCACCGTAAGTCGATATTAATTACGAGATAATTTGATACCAGAAATGTGAAATTGGAGCTAAAAAGTTTCTTTTTTTTTTATACTCCTTTTTAGTTCAGTTGTACGTTTTGGTCACTTATTTTAATTTTATTTATTTCAGCTTACTGCGTCGATTCAATATAATCAATACCAGAAAAGTGTTCCTTTGGCCAACAGTGCGCCAGTCCCTGGCACGCAATGCACCTTGTCTGGATGGGGTTTGACAAGTGCCAATGGACGATCTCCGACGAACCTTCTTAAGATGCACCAAGCCATAATCAGTCACGCACAATGTAAAGAAGAATATAGAGGATCGAAGATTTATGAAAGCCATTTGTGTGCATACAATAAGCGTGGAATCGGCGCTTGCCAGGTAATTATGCAATAACATCTTTCATTGAATACGTGCAGTATTTATGTATCTATAGATAATTGATTCGCTCATTTGTACAGTTACTCAAAATATAGAAGATTTAAATAAAAATTAATGGAAATGTGTTTTTGCATTCATCAGGGTGACAGCGGTGGTCCATTTGTCTGCAATGGCGTACAGTACGGTATTACTTCCTGGGTTTTACCTTGCGCTGTCGGTGCTCCTGATGCTTACACCAGTGTCTATCATCATTTGGCCTTTATCAGAAGCTCATAAATGATATACAGAATATGGAGGATAAATTGATTGAATCGTATTTGATGAATTATGTCGACTTACCGCGTCAAAAAAATATCCTGTTGCGATATTGGATAAAACGTGACAATATATCGGTTTTTAAAATACAAGAAACTCTTCTGTATTTGTTCTTCTTCTATGTGTGAATAAAATAAATAAACAACACTTTTAATCTATTATATGTATTGATTTTTATTAATATCTGCTATCCTTTTATCCGATATTCAACCTTTTTTGAAATAAATAATTATGTGTAGCGCAGACTGTAATTATAAATTTCTTGCGCCAATATTTTTTAAATTAAATTCACATTATATACATATATATAATGTAAAAAATAAATAAAATATTTTTTATTTAAAAAATATATAATTATATTCTTAAAACATTATAATTAAAGCATTAATTAAAATTTAAGAGCTCTTTTAATATCATCTTATATAACGTGTTCACTAAATTTTGTTTCCAGTTTGATGATGCTTTTGATAAAAATATTTATATTTACACAGCTGTCACATAGAAAATGACATTCAGAACTATTAGTTATTCAATGAATTAAGCTGGAAGCTAAAGATAATTTCTTAATAAAGAGCGAGAAAAATATGTTTTTTTTTATTTTTATATTAAAATAATTTATATTTTATTAAACACTCCTTTTTGTCAATTTTGTTGTTTAATCAAACATGTAATTAACAAATTAAATGTAAATATGGTATAAAGATATTATTAAAATTATACACATAATGTTCATATTGTTTCAAAAAAATTTAAAATAAACGTTTTCATCTATCTCCTTTAATCACGAAAAATTGTTTATCAGACACTAAGTCATTTCGAAAGCATAACGGTTCAATATTTAATATTTTATTTTTAATAAATAATTTACTTTTAATTAACTTATTATATAATGAGTAAATAAAACTTGCAAAATATAACTTTTCTTAAATAAATATTTAAACACTATGTCAATTGTAGAATAACATCTGCGTTTACAAATTTGGATCTATAACAGATTTGAATTCATTGATAAGCTTTAAAAGGTTATCGATGATCAGTCGATTAAACTTGAATCTCTATGCCAACATTCTTTAATCATAAATGAAATTTTTAATTGCGATTATTCAATCAATAGTATAATACAAATAATGACTAATCATAAACTATTTTCATAAATTTTAAGATTTGTACAATTATAAACGTTCAAAATAGAAATCGTGTTCCTATTGTAAAAAATGATAGAAAAAAATACAACAAATAATTCGTATTCTTTCAATAAAAACATTTTTACAAAGTTATCTATTTAATAAATTATTCAAATCTGTAAAATTGCATGCTATTAATAGATGTTTGCTAAATTAAATTTGTAAATTCTTTACTTTTTAATATTTATCTTTTGTTAAATAAATGATTAAATCTCCAATAATAATAAACAGATATACTCTGCACATCTCATTACTATTATATGTATATTTTATCATTCTTTCCCATTTAATTTCTACTGCGACGTAATTAAATTCTTTATTTTTGTCACATCTGTCTCACTCAAGTAAGTTCTCGCGTTAATGTTTTGCAAAAAATACGACCAACTATTTACTAAAGTCAAATAGATATGAATAGATATAAATCCTATATAAAAAGGGATAGAAATTGGGATTCACACTTTCTTTTTCGATCCGATTCGCACCCATTTGCAAACACGCTGCCCTTAACTGTTCTCTTCGTGATTGGCGTTTTTGCGCAACAAATAAATAATCGATGCTTTGAAATTTACTATACGTATTGATTTTTATTAATATCTGCCACTCTTTTATCCAGCATTCAACCTTTTTTGAAATAAATAATTATATGTAGTGCAGATTCTGATTATAAACTTCTTACGCCAATATTTTTAAAAATATTTAATAAAATATTTGCAATATTTAATATCCATACTTGCTTATTAGAAATTCTTTATGTGTACATTAATTTTTCAAATAATTAGACTTTTTTAGTAATTCTTTAATTAATATTGTTAGACAAACGAATTATTAGTTTAATGTATGTAATTATAATTTCACAAATATGAATTATTTTAAACGCATCTGTAATCTTGAATTATTCTCGTATTTTACAGATCAGCTATGGAAATCAATAGAACGACAACTCCGCTGCTGCACATCGATCGGTGAATTAACCCAATTTGTCTTTTTTATTGTTAAAATAAATAAAAGTGGATTAAAGAATACAAAAATTTGTTCCCGAAACACTTTGCAGATCATGTCATTTTTATTTTTTATAAAAATGTTTCATTTGATTCAACAAACCGTCTGTTCAATTTTGGACGAAATAAATTTAGAGATTCAACCAGAATTTGTCTATTTAGTCCAAAATCGAACAGACAGTTTGTTGAATAAAACGAAATATTTTTCTCAGTGTAGGGACATATTTGTGTAATAAATTTCTCTGTAAGAAAAGATAATATGTTGAACAATTATGCACGTCACATTATTCCACCTCATTTAACTTAAATTGTGCGAATTAACAAAGTAAGCTTTTACACCTGTTTTGTGAAAATGCAGAATACAAACGTCATCGAGTTTATTTACAATAAGAAACACGACAAGCTGCTCACCGAGGTCAAATATAGATACAAATTCTATATAAAACAGGGGGAGATGATATTCGCACTTACTTTTTCAACACAGCTTACACCCATCCGCAAGCATGCTGTCTTTTGCTGTCATCTTCGTAGTCGGCGTTTTTGCGCAACGTAAGTAAAGACGCATCGAATAATTCAACGGGATATCATTCTCGTACCTGCGATAAACATTTTACTAATTTATCTATACACATTTGTCGCACCTAAAGCGATGTAGATCGTTTTATGAAAAATACTTACTTATTGTATACTGATTTAAAGAGACGTTCGCTGACGAGCCCGAAGCGATCGTCGGCGGTACGCCTGCCGCGCCGAACGAATTCCCGTGGCAATGTTCCTTGCAACAAAACGGTCAACACATTTGCGGTTGTTCCATCATTGGCCCCAAAAAAATTTTGACCGCCGCTCATTGTGTGAAGGACATTTTCTATCCACCCTACTCCGATTGCAGCATTAAAACTGGATCCATTAATGTTAAACAAGGACAATCTCACACTGTGAAGAGTATTCGCATACATCCCCAGTATGTGGATAGTGTATTGGAATCTTGGGTGAATGACGTTGCCGTGATCACCGTAAGTCGATATTAATTACGAAATATGTAATTTAGTATTTTTAAAACTCTGAAAGTTTTTAGTTAAAATTGTGTACAGTTTCATCTTTGTACTATTTCGTTCAACCGTGCATTTCACTCAATTGCTTTATTCATTTCAGCTCAATAAAGCGATACAGTATAACGCACAGCAATCTGCTATCCTTTTGGCCGACAGTCCGCCAGTGGCTGGCACGCGATGCACTTTGTCTGGATGAAGTATGATAAGGGCCAATGGACCTCTTCCGACGTATCTTCTTAAGATGGACCAGGTCCTAGTCACTAAAAAACAATGTGAAGATGGCAACAGAGGAATGAAGATAAATGATAGCCATTTGTGTGCATACAATCAGCGTGGAATCGGCGCTTGCCAGGTAATTATGCAATAACATCTTTCATTGAATACGTGCAGTATTTATGTATCTATAGATAATTGACTCGCTACTTTGTACAGTTACTCAAAATATTGAAGATTTAAATAAAGATTAACGTCTTTTAATAAATGTCTTTTTGCACTTATTAGGGTGACAGCGGCGGTCCACTTGTCTGCAAAAACCGACAGTACGGTATCACTTCCTGGGTTCTTCCTTGCGCTCGCGGTGTTCCTGATGCTTACACCAGCGTCTATCATCATTTGGCCTTCATCCAAAGCTCATAAATGATATACAGATTTTGGCACAATATGGAGGCACAATATGAATCGATTTAATTATGTCAACTCACCGCGTCAACGTATCAAAAGAACAGCCCGTTGTGATATTCGAGCAAAGCGCAACAATACATCGGTTGCATTTTCAAAATACATGAAACTCTTCTGTATTTGTTCTTCTTCTACTGTGAATAAAATAAATAATCAGCACTTTTAAATCTACTGTACGTATTAATTTTTATTATGATCTGTCATTCTTTTATCCGGTTTTTTGAAATAAATAATTATATGCAGACTCTAATTATAAAGTTTTAACACTAACATTTTTAATTAAACTACTATCATTGTCAAAATATTTGTGATTAAAATAATTTTGACAATATTTTCAATTACGCTGCAAAATATTTGTGATTTTAAAATATTTTTGGTGAGCAAGTAAATAAAAATAAAAATGATACTCGAAATTATTATTTTATTATTTT